GCCATAGTATAGTATGTCGAAAAAAGCACAGTATAGCATGTCGAGAAAAAAAAGATGCTAAAAAAGTCAGTATAGTATGTCAAAAAAAATGTCCAAAAAAAAAAAAGTCATAGTAGAGTATGTCGGAAAAAATCATAGTATCACATGTCGAAAGAAGTCATGGTATCATATGTCAAAAAAACTGCTAAAAAAGTCATAGTATCATATGTCGAAAAAAGTCATGGTATAGTATGTCGAAAAATCTGCTAAAGCAGCCATAGTATAGTATAGTATGTCGAAAAAAGTCATAGTATGTCAAAAAAAATGAGTGTCACATGTCAAAAAAGTCATGGTATAGTATGTAGAAAAAGTCATAGTGTAGCATGTCAAAGAAGGTCATAGTATACTATGTCGAAAAAAGTCATACTATATTATGTCGGAAAAAAAAATCATAGTATCGCATGTCGAAAAAACTGCTAAAAAAATCATAGTATCATGTCGAAAAAAGTCATAGTATGTCAAAAAAAATCAGTGTCACATGTCAAAAAAGTCATACTATATTATGTTGAAAAAAATCATAGTATCGTATGTCGAAAAATCTACTGAAGCAGCCATAGTATAGTGTGTCGAAAAAAGTCATAGTATAGTATGTCAAAAAAAATCATAGAATAGTATGTCGAAAAAGTCATGGTATAGCATGTCAAAGAAGGTCATAGTATACTATGTCGAAAAAAGTCATACTATATTATGTCGAAAAAAATCATAGTATCGTATGTCGAAAAAACTGCTAAAAAAGTCATAGTATAGCATGTCGAAAAAAGTCATAGTAGTATGTCGAAAAACTGCTAAAGAAGCCATAGTATAGTATGTCGGAAAAAGTCATAGTATAGTATGTCGAAAAACTGCTAAAGAAGCCATAGTATGGTATGTCGAAAAAAGTCATAGTATAGCATGTTGAAAAAAGTCATAGCATGTCGAAAAAATTGTCTAAAAAAAGGTGTCCACTGAAATCACAAACTTCAGCCATCAGGACTATTAAGTGACTAAAAACTTATGATCAGGACATGTAGTAGCTCGTAGACTCAGCAGCAGTTGTGATCTGTCTGATAAATGATTTAAATTCTTCCTCACCTGTAAATCAGGTTGTAACGTCCTCTGCTCCTCTGTCTTGTTCCTCTTCCTGTGCAGAAGTATGTGAAGCACGCCAGTATGGAGGTTCCTCAGCAGCAGACGACAGTTCAGCTGCAGGAGTGCATCGAGCTGTTCACCACTGTGGAAACACTGGAGGAGGAGAACCCATGGTAACACACACACACACACACACACACACACACACACACTCTTGGTGATGAACAGCTGTGAAAGGTATAGAACAATGTGTGTGTGTTTCCAGGTACTGTCCGGTGTGTAAGAAGCACCAGCTGGCCACTAAGAAGCTGGACCTGTGGTCTCTGCCGGAGGTTCTCATCATCCACCTCAAGAGGTTCTCCTACACCAAGTTCACCAGAGAGAAACTGGACAGCATCGTGGACTTCCCCCTCAGGTACACACACACACACACACACACACACACACACACTCAGTCACACACACTCAGTCACACAAACTCTGTAAACTGAACGGTGTGTGTTGTTACAGAGACCTGGATTTCTCCGGCTGCCTCCTGAGGAAAAGCCTGTCCAATGGGGAGCCTCTGAGCCGTTATGACCTCATCGCTGTGTCCAATCACTATGGAGGACTCAGAGATGGACATTGTAGGTCCCATGTTTCATCTGTCAGCTGAGATGATGCTGAATCACAGAGGTCATGTTTAACATTCACTACCTTGTTCACTCATAGTCGTGTGTGTTCTGCTGCAGACACCAGCTACGCGCGGAACAAAGACAACGGTCAGTGGTATTACTTTGACGACAGCAAGGTGACGTACGCCAGAGAGGACCAAATTGTGGTAAGACGCACAGAGTGGTGACTGATGACAAACATTCACTTTAATCAGATTTAAAATGATCAGTTTTTAATTATTATGGAGGACGAACGCTGTAAAATTAAAAACAAAATGACTCCAAAAAAATTAATACGCTTTCTAATGTACCACAATATTAACAATAAATATGAAAAACATTTGACATGACATTTCAGTTTCAGTTAGCTTCTTTGTTTGCCTTTCTATAAATTTCTCTATTTACTTAACTATTTAATTTTCCCTTTTATTTTTTTTTAATTTTCAAAATAAATAAATACAATTAAAATTCAAAATAAATAAATAAATAAAAAGAAATTTCAAATGGGGAAATATTCATGGGAATTAATCCAGAAGTAAATAAATAAGCAAATTAAAATGAAAATATCAGTCAGTATCACCTTTAATCATTCAATAATTTTTGGTACATGTAAATGCTCTTTTTAAAAAAAAAAAAAAAAAAAAAAGTCATTTGCTTATTAATTTTGGCAGTGTTCGTCCTCCATAGTTTTCTCTTAAATTTATTTGTATTCATTTTTAAAAATAAATAAATGCAAAAACAAATACATTAAAGTGAAAATTAATTGGGAAGTAAATTTAATACAACAGTAAATAAATAAGCAAATTAATATGAAAATATTATTTATATTTTTGGTACATTTAATTGCATGTTAATTTATCATTCATTTATTTATATTTAATTATTTATTTATTTTGGCAGCTCCGTAGTTTTTAACAAAACAACACTATATGACTGATTAAGATCATAAACTCAAACCTGTTAATAATTTGTTGTCGCGCAGACCAACGCTGCCTACGTCTTGTTTTACCATCGACAAGACAAGATCAGAATACCCACTCTGCCCGCCCCCAACACAAGCCCCGCCTCCTCCACCCAGCCCGCCAACGACATCACTTCCTGCAAAGACGATGACGCGGAACTGGGCGGTGCTGCCGCTGCTGCCACCTCCTATGTCACCATGGAAACAGAATAAATGAACTGTCAAGATTTTTAGTTTAATTCTACTTTTCAGTAATTCTCTTTTCTTCATCAGAACAACAGGCCTCTTTTAGTTTTTTCTTATTTTCCAACAACACTTGAACTTTGTCTGAAAACTTATTTTATCCCCGAGTTAGAAAACAACAGCAGCACGGCTGCAGGTTGCATCTCAAACCTCCTCAGCTCTTATTCTCTGTCAACATGTCGCTGTCTGTTCGGTCGTTAACGTGGCCACTTGTTACTCAGGTAGTTTGAAGGTGATCTGGAGGTCACGTTCAGACTGTTGGTCTGAGCCGAAACAACACTTTGAATTCATAATTCCAGTTCGGAGGAAACATTTAATCTTTACTGATCGATCAGAACTCACGTGCCGTTTGATTATGACGCCTGGAGTGAGCTGCAGAATAATTACAGCCTTTTACTGTGTTTAAATAGAATCAAAAGTTAGTAAAAAAAAATATATTTTTCTGTCTTTAAATGATGAATCAATAATTAGCTTTTAAAATGGAACCACAGAAATTTATTGGGAAAAGGTTTTTAAATTTGAGTTTTCATGCACTGAACATATTCCATCTAACAGATCATTTGCTTTAATATTTACAGTTTGCCTTTAGTGATGTCTTTAATTTGTCATCAAGGTGCTTAAATTAAAATAAAAAAAAAAAAAAATTCATTTTAAGGTGGCAAACTCCTCACACGTCTTGTTAAGGCCTTTTAAAACGTAATTTTATTTAGAATTTTATTTTACTCAGTTTTAAATTAAATTACTAATTGGTCATTTAAAGACAAAATAATTAAAAAATGCTCGAGTTTGAGAAACCACAATTTAAATCCATTCATAAAACGTGAATAAAAAACATCATTAATTTAGTTTTTTTCTTAACTGATACATTTTTAAATTTGAGTAATGTTAAACAGTAAAAGTTAGTAATTATTCAGGCGCTCACACCAGGGTCCATATTTGATTAGAATTCATTTAATATTCAAAGCTGAAAGGACGGCAGTGTCTCTGGCGAGTTCCTGTTTATTTTTTCTTGCGAAATTTTTGGTTCATTTGGCAAAAACAGTCCTAAAATTTATCAGTTATTCTTTTGCTTCTGCAATACAAGATCCAGAAACACTTAATTTTACAAGTTAAAGCTATTAAATATTAAAATAAAGTCGTTACATATTTTAAATTAACTTGAAATGTCTGCAGACAAAATAAAAAACTCAAGGGTTTATTTTACTCAATAGAACCTCATTAAAGTGGCCCGCAGCGCAGCGTGAAGGGGATTGTGGGTAATCAGGAGTGTGTTTATAGCAGAGAAACAGATAATTTAATATTGAACAAAGCTGCCAGGAATGAGAAATTAATTTGTCTTTGTATATTTTGGTTGTTTCTTTCTGGTATTTATTTTTGTAATGGAATAATTCCAGCTGTCACATGACTACAGTTTGTTTTGATTATTTGATTTCAACTGATGATCCGACTGGTGCAGGACATTGAGATGCTTATTTTTCATATTTATAGATACAATTTGTATTCAGGCATAAAATTATTTGACAGAAGGACGGACGCAGGTGAGGTTTCCTCCTCGAGGTCAGAGCGAGCTCTCACTGATTTTAACCCGGCTCTGTGTACAGTATTTTTGTATTGTAAGAAATGTATTATTATTATCATTCCTGGGTCGAGCAGGAGGGAAGCTGGGGCTGATTTCTTTCTTTGGTCTTCCTGTCAAATATCAGATGAAAATATTTTATTGTACTTTCAATCTTTTGATATGAATAAAATGATGATTATTATCACGATGAGACCAGGTGAGTTTTTACACTTCTGTTGATTTAAAATTTTTTGTCAAACTGTGTTCACGCACACTGTGTCCCAACAAACTTCATGTCTATTTCCCACCAGTTTGTGCACACAGGTAACAAAGTTGTGCAGGTAGTGAATCAGAAATCTGCAGCTCCCAACACCACTAAAAAAGAATGCTTACCAGCTTCAAGTAAAAAGCAGTGTCTTATGAAGGGATGTGAACCTGGCTGTTGAAGTGCTGTACAATACAGACGAGGGAAATTCAGTTAGTTGTGATGGCACCTTTATTAAACTGTTGGCACTCACTTCAAGTCGCTCTGGATTACAGCCTCAGCTGGATGACCACAGTGTAGAAAAGTACATGCAAAGTGTCCGTCCTGCAGGGTGAGAACAACAACAACACGCCTGCTGCCATTTAAAGCTCCATAAAAACGTCCCAGTCGTCTTTAAACGCAGCTCCAGATTTCTGCGTCACACCCAGAGAGAAACACCTTCCTGAGAGGATTCGTCTGATCAGACCTGGTGCAGAATCTGCTGGTTTACTGAAACAACCTGGTGATCTGGAACATCTGGGAACCCTCGAACTGATCTGCTCCACGCCTCAGAGGATCCTGGAACACAGAACACAAAAGCAGCAAATATTAAATACAAAAATTAAAAGTTATCTCAGGGTGCACATGTATTTTTTAATAATATGTACCAATCTTCTGATGAAAACTGAGCCAACAGCTTCAGTTGCAAACAGACAAGAAACTGGTCGGCTATTTAAAACCTGGTTCCTTCTTTTAACCATCACAATGTTTAATAAAAATATGAGCTGTGTCATAATCTCGCACAAACACACTGGCTAGTTTTTGTTTCTTTAAACCAATCACAGTCGTGTTGATCAACACTAAGCCCAAAATTCAGGGACAGTGTTTTTGCAAAACAGTGTTTGGGGTGAACTTGTTTAAGTGGAACATTTGCACGTGGGGAGACGAGCCCTGCCCTGTCAAACGGCCCCGCAAAAGAAGATGCCACAAAAACAAAAGCAGCCACGTGTCACTGTGTGATTGAACTTTGAGTGATTAAAAAAGACAAACATAATTTGATAATCAGAGCCTTCGAGGTGACGCCTGACTTAAGTTCTGGAGGAGCTCGCCGGACCTACTGGCTGCATGTGGCTCCAGCAGAACCTTAAAATATTACAGAAGCTCGTGTGAAGAGGAACAGGTCTGTAAATTGGTGAAGTCACTGTCACATGCTGCTGTGCCAAACGCCCTGTGAGACAGTCTGGGTTTTTCTGAGGTGCGTTCACAGGCTGTTTTATTTGTTGTAGATCTTTACAACAATTCACAGAAACATTAAAGCAGCCGTATCTTACTGAAGCATCGACATCTTTGTTAGAATGTGCCATTTTCTGTGTTTTAGTTGTAGCTCTGAGGTTGTTGTTTCCTGTAGCGAAGGGGATTTGGATAGGGTAACGCGCAGACAGTGGAAGAGGGGAGATGGCCGGCTAATAGCCACAGACTACATCCAGTGAGTCAGACTAGCTGTGTCATAACTTATGATCACTACGTACATTTTTTAAGTCACTACGTCATGCACAACTTTTCCACTCTTAGAATTTAGAGACTCATAAAAAGGCAAGAAGTCAATTTGGTGCCACAATAATCAGCTTCTAGTATTTGTGTACGTTGTGCTCCAGAACCTTCAGACTCATTGTCGTTCCACAGCGTTCAGAACAGAGCGTGTTGTAAAGACACGGAGGTGACGAACCTTCCGCAGACGCTCCAGAGCTCGCAGGTCCCCGTCGATCTAGAACATGGTGGACTTGATGTCCTGGCTGAAGAAGTTTCCAAAGTTCAGGTCTCTGGACATCAGCTCCTCCTCCACGTTCTCCAGCGCCCACTTGTGTTCCACGATCTCCAGCGCCTCCCACTCGCTCTGACGCAAACAAACAAATAAATAAACAAACAAACAGGGAGACATGACTCTCAGCAGAAGTGTACAACAAGTTATTTGCTTTAGCATTAGCTTGAGTGTTTTGGCGAGAGATGAAGAGTGAGATCTTAATTTACGAGACGACCAGGATCTGAGAGGTCAAAGGTCATGTAGCTCATGTGTTATGTCTGTAAACATTACGTGGAAATGTGTAGTTTCTGTTAAATACATACACAGCTGTCACAAACAAATGTAATCAGCGATCAAACCTTTCGTTATTCTTTCTGACTTTAATGTTTCACCTTAAAAGCCTTGTTGGGGTCAGGGGGCATCGCCATGGCAGCGCCCGTCATCTGGTCCTGCATGATCCGTGACTGGTCAGCAGCTGTAAGTTAACAACAGCTTTAATAAATAAAATCAAACAGACGAGGTTTAATGTTTTCGCAGCTTTGCAGCTCTGACAGGTTTTTGTGAGACTTTCAGCAACAGCTGTGAACACCAGCTGTGTTTTAACTGGCCTGTTTAAGATTCACAAAAACCACAAGTTTATTCAAGTTCACTTCGACCTAGTCCACACAGACGTGGGTATTTCTGTTAACATAGTTTTTTGTATTGTGTTTTAGCCTTCCGTCCTCACACTGACTGCACCTTAGGTCACTAGCTAGAATTACTGCCTTGCTGGTGTGTGTCTCTGCAAACCAGTGAAGCTGCAGTTACACTTTACATGCATGTCTGTGAAATCATGGATGCAAACATCTTCAAAATCTTCAAAATTAGAAATGTTCCCCCCTCTGTTCCTGAGATATGACGCTGAGTAATGAACTGAAAAGTGTTTTTGCAGAACATTGTGATGTCACAGTGAAAGATTTGTGTGAAGATTTGTCATAATTAGTAGTGGTGGGGAAAAAAAATAGATTTTTAGATGCACTGAGATTCTGTCTTGAACGATGTGAGCATTGACGTGGAAAACTCAATCGATTTTAATTTTATTTTTTAATGTTTATTTTTCAAATTACCATAACTAACAAATTAATTAAGAGGGGAGGGAAGTGAGCACGGCAGGAGGAGTGTGACAGCTGATGATGAGAGTATAATTTTGAGTTTGAGTTGCGTTTTCTTTGTAAATAATATTTAGTGTTGTAAATAATAGTATTTGTGGTTTTTAGAGAGCTTTTGAGATTTTTTTTATGCCGTGTTTTCGTCGTGTTTTCACCATAGTTTGTAGTTTCGCCACCGTCTTTTTTAAAATAGTTGGTGTTTTTATAGTTCATAGATAGTTATAGTTTTGTAAATACTGGAGGAGAAATATCGAGGAGGTCGACAAGGGACAGGAGAGTCCCGTTGAGATTTGTGGATGAGGAGGATGGGCCGGTGGAGTGTAGTCATCTCAACCACAGTAAGTAGTACAGTTTGTATGCACTGGATATGTATTCCCAGCTTTATTACAATATATCAACAAATCCAATTATATGATTTTCAGACATAAAAAAAAAAATTATTCAAAACAAGACTCTAAATTATTTATCAATGACACTGAAATTAAACAGGTCTCTCATGCCAAATATATAAGTGTTATTGTTGATGAAGGCCTTACATGGAAAAACCATATTGAGCTTGTGTGCAAAGAAATTATGAAGTCTTATGGCATAATTAGAATGATTTCTTCTTTAGTGAATCGCTGCTGTCTTCTGACATTACAGTTTAATATACCCATATTTATCTTATTGTAATATTATTTGGGCCAGTACATTTCCTGCTTCTCTTCACAAACTTTTTTTGTTGCAACTTAAGATATTATCAATTTTTGATATTAATGTGTATCAGACATGTATTTTTATGTTTAACTGTATTCAAAAGGTTTTCCATAATTTTTTCATACCAAATTCCAGTATTCATTCATACCCTACCAGGCAATCAAAAAACATTCATTGTCATTTCTCCCGCACAACATCAGGTCAGTTCAGTATAAGATTCAGAGGTCCTACAATATGGAATTCAAAACCTTCTATGACTAAAAACTGTTCCTCTGCTCCACTGCTCAAGTCCAGGCTTAAATATACGTTGCTAGGTGAATAACTTTGTGCTTTTTGTTACTGTCATTTTGTGTTTGCTGTTTTATCTTGATTTGTTTTGATTATTATTAATGTCAGTATTATTATCATCATTATTATTATTATTATTGTCATCTCAATGTTATGAAATTTGTTTGGATGTTTTTTATTTTCACTTTGCTCTAGGCTCTTGTGTTGAATTGGTGATGTACTGTATTTAAGGAGTTGAGGCCCCGTATAGGCCCATCTGGGTCTCTTGCCTCTGCTCAGCACCTTTATTTTGTGATGGCCATTTTTCTTCTCTATTGTCTTGTGCAATGGTGCGAAATAAACAAATAAAATAATAAATAAATTACAATAATGTTTTTCAATATCTAGTGTAAATTTTCTTATTGGCTCGTTTTAGAATCAAGAATCGTTCTATTATTGAAATCGTTGCCCTCAGAATGGGAACTGAATGGAATCGTGCGGTGCCTAGAGATTCCCACACCTAATAATTAGAACATGAATTTTTGAGTTATGGCCAAAACATGTTTTGTGAGGTCACACTGATCTTTGACCACAAAATTCTACCCAGTTTCTTCTTTAGTCCAAGTGGACCTTTGTGTCAAATTTGAGGAAATTCCCTGAAGGTGTTCTTGAGATATTTCATTCACGAGAATGAGACTGACAACCCAAAACACAATACCTCTGGCCGCAGCTACTGCTGGCATAGAAGCGTAAAAATCTGTGTATGAACAGTTCATGAATGATTCCAATATTTTGGTCTTGTATGTAAAATATGACATTTAATCTAAAGCAGCTCTGTGTTTTTGACTTATTCAAAAAATCTCAAACAAAACCCAGAAACAAAACAGTGAGAAGTCAAAGACCAAAACCTGACACTCACCGTTGTCCTGTCCCAGTATGAGGCTGTACATGCTCCTCAGTCCAAACACATTCAGGAAGTACCAGGACGCTGAACTCACCCTGCACGGTACGGAGACCCACAGTGGCCAAAATTAATAAACAGGGCATCACTGAATAAACACAGACTAAATATATGAGCATGAAAACCTGTTGTTGTGAAATAATCAGTTTAGTTTTATTTAACTTAATTGTTATTTTGGTTAATTTTATTTCCCAATACCAAGTATTTATTTGTCAATGAAGACAAATGGTGCAGAGCCTGTTCTGTTATCAGCTGCCCACTCATTCAGACTGAAGCCAGACTACATTACATTAAATTAAACACATCATAATTTATGTCTGCACGTGGTTCTATGTGTTGTTGTCAGTGTGGATGTTTACCAGGAGGCGTCCAGAGACAGCAGGTCAATTCCTCTCTGCAACATGGGTTTGAACCTCAGAGTCAGAGGGAACGGCACCTTGGCTGGACGACAAATTAACGATTAATAAAAACACAACAGGAGGAAAAACTGTTGCGTATAAGAAGAGCAGAATACAGCTGTGATCATGAGATGCTTTTCTGTACGCTCCTGTGAAATTATTAAATCTGACTTCACTGCATTATTAAACCCAGCAGGCTGCAGCTGTGATGTCACTTGTCAGCTGCTGAGTGAGTTCAACCGTGCTTGTTGTTGCCGTGGGTAACAGTATGACATCAATATGGCAACAAGTCAAACTAGTATCACAATATGAACCATTGCTCATTCTCAACTAGTTGCTCAGAGATAACAAGTTAACTGCCTTTGGAGAAAGTTTCATGCAACAGTAGCAGTGCTGCTGAATGCACACAGGGGAAACACTGAGATTAGCGTCACTCAGAGTTGACAGTGACAGTGTCTGATATGTTAACATGTTAATGATGACAGCTGAAGAACTCACTTATGACGAATCCAGAGAAGGCCCAGTTGATCCATCCACCAATCACAATCATGGGCAAGACGTTGGTCAGGTTTCCCTTCATCATGTCTGTCAACATGCTGCTGTCTGTAACACACACACACACACACACACACACACACACACAAGTTAATGTTTGTTTGCTTATTTATCTCCAGAGTTACAGTAACAACAACAGTGGGAACTCTTCCTGACCTCCACATATTGTATTAACAGGGGCTGCACGATATCAGGAAAACCTGCGATATGCAATAACATTGTTGAATGTTGTGATGATGAAGATGAAGAGTTTTAATGTCCTCCTGCTTCAGGTTCATGCTGCTGATGTCGACCCCAGATAAACAACAGCCTGACGCTGACAGGTGTTCAGTGTAGTGAGTCCCTGGACCCACAGGTGGTCGTTTTAATAGGTCTCCAGTGATATTTGTGTCTTTTGACAGACTGTAGTGTGAAACTGGTGTTTGATGTTACATATGTAATTCTGGTTATATTCATGTATGTTGAAAATGTATCTGAAAGGTAAATAAATTTAATCTCCAGGGCTGGTACCTGCGGTTATTCCACAGGCTAGTTAATAACATGTCGGACAGGAAATCCAAAGTGTGGGATCATTTTGAGAAGGTGAAGGACGAACCCAAGGTGATATGTAAACTCATCTTCATTGGTCGACTACAAACATGACGTATCGTCTGAAACATGGAAGTAGCTACATGCCCATTAGCCCACAGCGTCATTAACAGGCGGCTCGCTCAGTGTGTGACGTGCACTTGGAGATAAAATATAGGCCTATATTAATGAAGGTTCATTAGTACGGTTTGTATTTCTCTGTAATGTAGCACAGTGTTAACAATGTTACTGATACTATTCTTTCTCACACCTTCAACTCAAACCACCAAAATATGTCATTTAATCATTACATTCATATCAGAAACATGCAGGAGACTAGTCCACTGATGGACCCTGATGAGGACTGTTGGTCCACTGATGGACCCTGATGAGGACTACTGGTCGACTAGGAACATTCAAACCTGATGCCATCTCAGGGTTTCACTAACTCAGAGTTCTCACTAAACCTGTTTTCTGAAACAGGGCCCTGGATGTGTCATGATGAAGAGACACACACACACACACACACACACACACACACACACACACACACACACACACCTGTCATGGGGTTCTTAGGGACGACCTTCCTCTTGACCTTCTTGAAGAAGCCAGTCTCTGTGTTGTTGAAATAATGTTTCCTCATGGCGAAAGACTGAAACAGTGAAAACAGGTTGACACACAACAGCTCACAGCTTTTAAAGTCACAGAGACAGAGACGTGTCCTCCAGAAGTCTTTCAGCATTTCATCAACATGTCTATAATACATATTTTAATATATATCTAGACAAGTAGATTACTCTGTAACATGGACGGCAGATTTCTAATGTTTACTGAGAGATGGTCTAATAGGAGAATAAAATGACTGCTGCTCTGATGACAATCCAGAGTTGAAAATCCAGTCTAAGAGCATTACTAATCTCTGTTAAGTATTTTGGCATAATAGAGCTATTTTTTTTTAGCATAGTGCTGTTTTTGCTCGAAACACATTTTAGAGAAACTTTCACTCCCAGTGAGTGAGTGTGTGCACTTACCTGTCTGGGAATGTACTTTCCATTCTCTCTGAGGATGCGGCTGCGCAGGAGCACCTGGCTGAACAGAAATGAACAGAAACACCAACATAAGCTCAGATTACTCTGAAACACTGAGCACAATCTGCAGCATCATTACAAACACTTAAAACTGAATATGCTGCAGGCTAAACTTTAGAGTCACCGGCTCGTTGCTGCCCAACAGACTAAAATGCGCCTCACCTGTCAGAAACCTGCTCCAGGTCGATCTTCTTGTCGCTGTGGAGCAGCTGGGTGACGTAGTGGCGGATGACCCCTACGAAGAAGGTGATGAAGACGATGGGTAGGACCACCCACATCCGAATGCTGGAGTCCAGCAGGAGCTCTGGACTGGCCATCGCTCTCTGTTCAACCAGCCAACTGACACACAGACTGGGAGACGTTCTGAAAGAGGAAAAGAACTTATTTTTATGTTTAAGGCCCAAAAATAAAGAAATAAATACAAAAATTGGAATTATTTTGGCAGGATGGAAAACACTTACACTCAGTATTTAGACTGTCATGTACGAAGGAGGATTAGGGCCACGTTTAAGAAAAAGAATCTTAGATTTCCAGAACAAAGTCATAAATCTACGAGAATAAACTCGTAATTTTAGGAGAAAGGTCACAGATTAAAAGGATAGTGCACCCAAAAATGAAAATTCAGCCATTATCTACTCACCCATATGCCGAGGGAGGCTCAGGTGAAGTTTTAGACTCCTCACATCACTTGCAGAGATCCAAGGGGAGAGGAGGTAGCAACACAACTCCACCTAATGGAGGCTGACGGCGCCCCAGATTCAAACGTCCAAAAACACAT